TACTGTATAGCCTTATGAATCCCTGTAAGCCTGAAGCGCAATTCACATTCCTCTGAGATGTCTCATGGAAAGAAAAGAAGTTGGCGCGATATTGGGAAGAGGAAATTTTACGAATGAACTGACATCTTGTAAACAAAAAATGTGAAGTAGTCGTAATGACACTTGATACTTGATATAGAGCAATATATCGAACAACAATTTCATCCCTGCAGCTGTCTGCCGTCTCCATTCAGATGTTCGACTTACGAAAGCAATAATTGCATTCAAAGAATTGGTGACATGTTGTAACTTGGCAGAACTTTTCTCTCATTCACCTGAAATGACGTACAGAAAAACATAGGGCTCCCATGATATATCAATTTTTTTTAAAATATACGTAAAGGGTGTCCGTAGAGTCATTTGGATATTAAAAATTCTATCATTTTCCCAGTGAAGTCTTGAGTGGGTTCTGCAGGTGCGATTTCATCATTTTTTGAAGCTGCTGCATCTACAATAGGTTACACCTCTTCATTTCTCAAAAAAATCTCCACGATCGGTATTGAAGATTTTATTGATCGCAACCCTTCCGGATTCCCCTCTATCTGATACATCTCCACTAACTTCTCGACCCGGACACATGAAATGCTTGGAACCCATTCTTGGGGTCTTTTTTATTGCAATGGAAGCTTGTGATTTTGTGGTATGACATCCTCACTTCCTTGTTTGGGCGAAGAAGCCAAAGATTTGGAACATTTGCAATACTCTGAAAGATTTGAAACTCTATTCTTTCAAACTGAAGGAAATTCGATAAGAGGGGGATGTGTTAAAGTTACCGTAATTTCTATGGTTCTCCTCTTTTGCCAGAAATGTTCGAATCTGACTTTTTACAAGCTTCTAATTCAATAACAAGCAAGATTATCCCTTTGAAATGACGAATTCAGAATTAAAATAAATTGAAATCCAGGCATTTTCGGATGAAATTTGCAAGTCAGGATAGCTTTCGAACTTCAAATCAAGTATGTTTCTTCTTCAATTGTTCAGATGCAATACCAGCTTCACGATGTTCAATTTTAGACCAGCATCAAAAGGGAGGATTAATGAGTCAAAATATTTTTTAATACTTGTCCCCTCGCATCAGAATCTCGCGTCAAATTCATATCAATCACATTTATATCATACCAATCCAGATTCTTTAAGGATGATTCTGGAATCGAAGGGCAAATGCTACGTTTTTATCGATGATTCATGGCTCAAATTAACCGCGTGTGTCCGCTCTGCTCTATTCTCAAAATGTTCTATTTTTAAGATAGACAGTTGCAAAAATGAAGCCTGATCTGATACTTTCGTGCTAGAAATGAAGGTTACTTGTCCCCCATAGGGTTTATTTTTGAAACATCCTATAATTCATAAAAGAAATGCGATGATTAATTTGCGAAACAGAAGATAGAAGTTTTTGTATGGCCTCCTAAGGCCTCTACAGATGCTCCACATGTTCACTATCATCTTGAAAGCGCAGCTGGCGGTCTAAACTTCATGCTTCGGGCAATGAGACGCTTCAAGTCGTGCATTCAACATGGTCTCGTGAAGCACTTATTGAAGCCTTGACGTGGGAAACACTTATATTTGCATCCTTTACTGATACCTGATTGAACGATTAATGTTCAATGAACGTTTCATCGAAGGTATTGCCAACGTGCCATGAACGTCCTTGGGAAAGTTCATTTGACGGTTTCGATGCTCGAAATTTGGAGCAATAAAAAGAAGTTCACATTTTGCTTTCTCTGAACGTTCATCAAGGACGTGACTTGAATGCTCCCAAGCAACACCAAAAGGTTCAAAGAACTTCATTTTTCAGGACTCATCCAACAAGCAATTAACATTTCGGAAAGGATCTCTTCATCACATAAATTGCATCAAGCCCATGCACGGCCCTGCTCCCGTGCGAGAGATAAGGAGAAAATCCTCGTAGAAGAGATTCTCTTTGTCTGATTTGGAGTACTACCTCCCCACGTGTGGGACGTTAGTATGTTAGTATTTCCGGCTCTGCGATCGATTTCAAATTCCTTTTCAGAAACGGAACTCTTCGTGATATTTGCATCAGCTCAGCAGTTCCTTAGCCTGGTCCGGAGCACATAGCGAGTAACTCTCTATCACATTTATATCGTCCTCCACCGAGTCATTAAATGGTTACGATGAGCCATGTCTGATTCAGATCGCATGAAGTTATCTTGATAGTTGAACCATCCTCCCTCCATCCTCTGAGTCAGAGCTTCCGTAAGACTCTTTTGACTGGATTAACTCTTTAAAACTATTTGTTGAAGAATTCAAGTGTCTTCTCCTGTGGTCTGTGGAGAAAATTCGGACACAGTGTGGAAGTTATTGAAGACTGATTCCAGCCGTATCAGGTATTGACACGCTATAGCGGCTACTTTGGCGCCATCCGACATCGGTTATGTGAACCGTTGCTCGTTGAAGCTACTGCTAGATGAACATCTACACTTAAAAGAAAATGCCTCTTTAACTTCCAATTACTGCCCTTCAAAAACGTCATGATTTGTGAAAAAATTTAACTGAGCACCCAAAGGCTGCTAATCTGCGAAAATTGAACGTCCTAAAATCGCTTTGAATACAGGTTGAATCTCCTCGAGAACGATCTTGTGTTATTTGGGTAGTATACCGTTTGTTGAAACATATTGGAGAGTTAAATGTAGCTGAGATTCCCAAATGACTTTACGAACACTATATATTCTAGCACGCGTTCTCGTTTCGAGGTAGCCATAACCATTAGTCTCGTCAAGATCTTTCTGGGGCCCACATATTTTGTTTCATTTAGAATTGGCCGCCAGTGATAGCCTACTAATTTTTAAGTCTGTGCAACGCTGAACGAGAGGAAACAGACTTCCCAGAAACTTTCGCATTGCCAGACTCCTGCTCGGAATTCTAACGCCCTTATTTGTCCATAATCTATCCTAGATCTACGTCTATAGCAGATTTCGTCACTCGACTAAGGTCGGAGTATTTTTGGAAGAGCAGACCCTGCCAAAAAAAAAACACACTTACGAAAGGCGTTCGCTTGGCAATAAGCAATTTTAAATGAACTTTATGCGCCGGGTAATATAATGAAGCCTACCACTATGCAAATTCTATCAGGTACTTCTACTACCAGGTACTTCCAGAGATATTCTGGGATGAGATTCGGGAAACTATGAGAAGTTGAGGAATGAAAATTGGATTTGTGGTGGATTTCTTTCTCGAAGCAGGCTAATGAGAGTACCTTTTAAAAAGTATTAATTGTTCTATTCTAAACCATTTTTAAAGACTTTTTTCTGCTTGTTGTTCCGAAAACACGCCGAGACAATAGTTTCTCTGCAGAGTTTCGTTTTGCAATGAAATTCAACAGAACTCGAGCACCGAACACGGGCGAATATGAGTTAAATTTGAAATTTTTCTAATCGTGAAACCACTCTCATTCGGCGCAGCACCATTGTGTCAACATTGATAAAAGGTTGAAATTTTGAGACATCCACATTTAAGTAGGTTCTACCAATTGGCGCGAGATGGCGCCTAAGCGCCGATTTAGCGATTCTCACCCTGGTGCTATTGGAATGAGTCCCGTGTATTTTTCATACATTTTTTAAATTTATTTATTTATTTGAAATTTCAAACACGAGGTCAATCAGAATTCCCGGGAAAGATATGACCAAAATATGGCTGAATTCTATCACGTATGACTGAAATATGAACTTAAGCATGACATTTGATCTAATTTTGACCAAATGAAGTTAAGTCCACCAGGTGCCAGCAATCCATTCGGGATGCTTATGTGTTTGTGCAAGGAGCAGAAAATGTGACCTAGTATATAAATTTACCCTCTAGTACTAACTAGCTTTTGAGGTAGTGGTATTCTGAGGTGAATAGGTTCCGCCATAATTCCATGTTCCCTTCCCTTGGTAATAAGATCCATCGGACCGGAAAGCTCCATATGAAATCCCATTGTTTTTGTTTGTTCTTGATGGGAGATAAGTGTGTAACTAGACTCTTGTTACACTAGGTCAACGGAAGGAGAATGTTACTCCTTGGCCGCAGGGGTCTCGTCGAATCGTTACGAAACGAAGCGAGAAACGGCAAAGAACCCTTCAGCCAAGGTCACATCGTCTCCGCTTCAATCGAATTGTGTTCCGCGTGTTCGTTTTGAGGCAGATATCGGCAGATGCCTCCATGCACCAGGTGCAAATGCCTCTCGCGGCGAAGCGAAACATGGCAGGAATGGGAAGGAGGACGAGCGTGATGAGGGCATCTGCCTTCAAGGTTTCTGTATTCGAGTCGATGCCACCCATGCAGACAGAGCATGGATGCCGAGGCATGCACGCGGCCCCAGACGACGGCATCCTAAGCACTACCTTCACGATGGATGTAGGTCGATCCACCCGAAGCCCCTGCAGGTGGACCTGAGGCCTTCACGAGCAAGGGGTTCCTGCCTGTTGCAGTTCACCGATCTCTCTCTCAGATAACCTGCCGCTCTGTATAGCTTCCCCGTGGAAGGAAAAAACTATACAAATATGTCATTCATTCGACAAATTTTCGAACGTAGCTGAACGAAATGAATTTCCAGAGAGTCGTTCCATGCTTTTCGTTCAAACTTTCAAGAGCCCCAATTGTAACTGAAATTAAATTGCGGAGCAGGTGGTGAACCCCGTATATCAAATTCGGAATCTCACTACACCATTGCCAGAGGGTCTACTGGTAAGATGCAAGGGGAAAATTATCCCCACCCTGCGTCTTCCTTTGATACTCATGCGTTTATTGCGGTGAATTTGCTTGAAAAAAGAAAGCGTGGGTATTGCGAGGGGGAGGTACCCTTAATCTCCGTCGCAAAGGGTGTCATCAACGAAATGATCAAATCCTCGTCTCATGGGAATTAGGAGGGGGAGGGGCAACGGAAGGAACTCAGATAGACTCTGCAGACAAATACTGTAATCACAAGATCATAATTCCCCCCGTCAGATTGACGGATTGTCACTGCTCGTTACGTCATGATTTGTCATAATTAACAACTTCTTTTCAGCTACAGCAGTTTGGTACCTGAAAGGGATGGAAAAAATAATCCACGTTGAGAGATGGGGTCCTGAATGTATACAGCTGCAGGGGGCCAGTACGACTCGTACTATCGGAGGAAGAAGCGGGCGGTGGACGAGGAGACACTGGAGATTTTGGAGTCCTTAGATCGCATCTTCCTCCTCGATCCGGGTTGTCCATCCCTGGGACGCGTGTGTCTGGTCGGGAACGACCCTGGACTCGACCCTCGAGCCGCGGAGTCACTCCTCCACCTTCGGTCCGTCTGTCCCACACATCATTTTGTCTTTTTTTTAAATACTCGTTGTCGTAAACTTCGTATCGAACGATAACAGGGAGATGGAAAGGGATGCAGAGATTCCTGAGGAAGAGCGAGAGAAGACGTCTCGATATCTTCGGGCCTGGGAAGACGGTAAAGCACTCTCTGATCCTTCCTCGTGTCATCTCCTCTATCCTCCATCGTGCGATCTCAACCACAGGAGCAACATCAACAACAATGCGTCCTCCTAACGCCACCCGTCCAGTCATCTATGGACCCACTTATTTATTCATTTATTTATTTATTCGTGTCTCATATACCTGATTGTGTGCAAAGCATCACCCAACTGATACTTCTAAGTGGGCGAATGAATGAACGAAGATCAGAAAGAGGAGGCAGAGGCGGTCTTCTTCCCCTCCGGGGTTACCCTCAGAGCGTGGATGATGATGTCGCACATCCGGTCCAGGTCGTATTCGTGCTGCCATCCCCAGTCTCGTCTCGCGTTGGAATCATCGAAAACCTCCGGCCAGCTGTCCGCTGTTTTTCAACGAGGACAGCGTGTCAGACTCGAGGATAAATAGGGAAGAGGCATCTAAAATACACTATATTGCCAAAAGTCAAGGCCCACTTCGCAAATGTCACCAACTTTCCGACCGACTGTCGCACTTCAGTAACCATGTGACTGCTAGGCAGCTGGTTTAAAAGACCTGTCCAATGCCTGGATCAGGAAGTAGCAACAAGGCAGCACGACGCGAGCTTGCTGCGTTGTAATGGGGCATGGTTATATGAGCCTTTTAGTAAGGGAGTCCGGTCGAGCTCCCATAATACTTCTGGTCTGCCCTTCATGCTATGACAATATGCAGGTGCATACTGTCATAACATGGAGGGAGACTCATGGACATGCTGGTAACATTCCCCCACCAAGGTGGGTTCAGGATCCAATACAAGAAAACCAATACACTGCGCGTCAATTCAAGTGGATATTTGATATTTTCTCGTGTAAAAGTAACTTGGATGCATTTTCTTGTTGTGAAATAAATGACAGGCAATTCATTTCAACTTATCATTTACAATTCTATAGAATGTTCTCAATTTACAATTCTACAGAATTGTAAATTGAGAACATTTCTTGTTTCGACGCATTTTAATAACATGTAACAGCAGAACTTTTCAAATACCGAAAATACGAAATATTCACTTCAAAATTGACGTGCATTTTTTAAATGTATTTGTTATTTATAATTACTTGTGAAGCGACGACCACGTTCAGGGGTGGGCCTTCACTTTTGGAAATATTGCGCATGCACAAAGAAGTGTTTTCTACCGATCTGCTGGCGATGATCGGGGGCGTATTTGACCGTGAGGTCTGGGATGTGTCTCCTCACGCTCCTCACGATCTCCTCTGGCGTGAAACTCATCGCCGTGATGTTATACGTCCGGCGGCGCAGCATCCCCTCGGGACAGGACATGAACTCCGCCAGGGCCCGGAGGCAGTCCTCGATGTAGATCATCGGGAGCCGCGTGTCCTCTCGGAGGTAGCAGCGGAACTCCCCGTCCCGGAGGGCGTCGTGGAAGATCTGCACCGCGTAGTCTGTGCCGTTCCCGACGAATTCAAAGATTAAAATTGGCGAACTTCGAGTTTGCTTCAGAATCATCTCAGACTCTCACAGATTTCGAAAAATTAACATCAAGTTATATTTAAATTGTGAAGAATGTAACTGCAATGTTTTATCGTAATATCGCCTTAATACTACATTTTTTTTATTTAAATAAAGAAAGCGAGAAGTCTGAAAGGTGTCTTAGCTGACGGACTGAGAGGAAAACAAATCTTTTCTCAAGCTCCAAGGGGAAAGATGGAATATTCTAGCGAACATGCTCTTAAAAGAGGGGGGAAAGGCGTATGCAGATGAACCTGTTTTTCACTTGCAAATCCCACGATCTTCAATCTTCAATCGAAGGAGAAAAGGTCTACGTACTACACTTTTTCCGGATATTTTTTGCAAACAGCCCATTCTTTTTTCCCTTCAGTTTTTAAGTAAAGTATAGTTGCTAACATTAATAATTAATTTATAAATTAACAGATAAAGTATTCGATCGCGATTAAAACATAATCGAAATTAATAGTAAATTTAATAATAAATCGACCCCCTCATCTCTCCCTGAATGCCCGTTCCTCTCCTCCAATTTTACTTCATAGAGCACAGTTTTGTCAAAGAGCCAAAAAAAATTGTTTCCGACTAGAATCAGATGAAATGATGGCTTGTAAAGAGGCAGTCATCCGCGTGTGGCAAATCTTTCTCAAACCTCTTCGGCAAATGAACATGCGGTTTAATTCGAAATGAGAAGCAAAAGTTAATGGTTTCCAAATGACGCGAAGAGAAACGAGGGCCTCGCGAGGAGACGGAAAAGTACACACCTGAGCGGTCGCTGCTGTCTTGTACAGTCGCGATTCGTGAGGGGGGAATCGAGTAAACTTGAATGGTCATCGGACAAGACGGGACAGGAGGGGACAAGACTGGGAAAGATGGGAAAAGATGGGACAAGATAGGCCAAGGTGGAGCAAGATGAGACAACGGTGGGGGCGGACGTCCACCTTGTCTGCTTTCAACAGGCATCCGGACAGCACCCAGGACATAAAAACACACCGAAATGCCAGAAGACGGATTGGAGACATATTCTTCCATCCTGAATGCGACTTTTCCTACGTCATGGTCCCACCATTCTTTCATTTTCCATTTGACGATGAAACCACGAGGAAGCTACAGTCTAACGAGAGAAGGCAAGGTTGGCGGCACGCGAGCAAAAAGCAGTTATGGGATCATCACCGGTGATTGGGGTGACCCCTTGCCAAAGGACGAAAGGGAAGATAGGTGAAAGGAAGAAAGATAATTGAGAGAAAGTAAACTATTCCCTCCGCGTTTTTCTTTTCGAGAGCTTTTTACCCTAGAGGAAAGCAGACAAGCTTAACACTCATCCCCAGCCGATTCTAGCTGTGCGGAACAGCAACGACCGCTCGGAATCAACTTACGGTTTATTAATTATCATTTTAAAATTCGGAGAGTGAGATCGATAAAAACCCGATTAATTGATTTAAATTTAAATATATTTTTAAATTAATAAATTAAATATGATTTAAAATCAAAAAGTACCGGTGGTGCCGCCGCCGGGTGGGGTGTCGTAGGAGATGACCCCGGGGAACCGAAGGCACCGAAAGTCCAGCCCGAACCGGTGATGGTAGTACTCGCCCAGAAGCTCCGCGTGGACCTTGGACACCCCGTAGATCGTCTTCGGCCGCTGCACGGTCACGTCCGGCGTGGGATTCCGGGGGGATTCGGGACCGAAGGCCCCGATCGTCGAGGGCACGAACAGGCGCAGGCCGTACTGCTTCGACAGCTCCATCACGTTGTGCAGGCCTGGCGGACATTGATCAAACCTCGAGTAAGGGAATATCAGATCTCAAATATACAACGAATTTGGTGGAAAATCCCAAATATTGGTCTCGTTCCATGAAGGACCGTTAGCGACGGCATTCCATTACGGACGCTTAGTCTAGGTGGTGGCAAATTTCGTTCAAATTGTACGTCTCAACATTCTCCCATGTTTAGAACCATTCATCACGATTAGTCGGTCTCTCTTTTTTTGGCTATACTGTACAAATGCGTGCACGCCGTGTCTTTCGAATCCAAGGACTGACGAGACCGGAGAATTCGGACCTTTATCTGAGCTAAATCTAAGGCTGCCTAGAAGGGGATTCACACCTGTCCCATTTCCACAAAAAAAAGGCAGACCTTCGATATTGACGCGGACAGCGAGCGGCACGTTCTGCTCCCCGACGGCGCTGAGCAGCGCACTGAAGTGGACGAGCCACGTCACGCGGTTGTTCACCACCAGCTCTTGGAGGTTTTTGAAGTCCAGCACGTCCGCGAACACGTAGGGCCCTGCCACGAGAGAATCGGTTGTCGATCGAGTCGAGGTCGACACAGGGTCGAGAATATTGTATCGGAGGATTTACCTGCACGGACGATGTCATCCGAGGGTCTTATGATGTCGGAGAGGATCACATTGTCCTTGCCGTATCGGGAGCGGAGGAGATGCGCCAGGCCCCGACCCAGTTGGCCCAGGCCCCCTGCGGTTCGTACGAGACTGTTAATATGCAACGATGGAATTTCTCGCTTTCAAAGGTTTACCTGTGATGAGGATGCGCGGGGGGGAAGAGGAGAATCGGCGGAGTCCGGGCTGCACGACGGCTCGAATCTGACCGAACCTCATCCTACGTCGCTTTCGAGCCTCGGTCTGAGGGTTCCCTTTCGTTTCTGCCTCGTCCCCTTTTCGTTTCTGCCTCCTTCGCTCTCTCGGGGGCTGCGAATGACGTCGCCGGGGAGGGGGAATGGGAATCGCGTATTTTCTGCCTTTGCGGTCCGAGTCTGCGCTCTCATCGCTGTTTCGTCCATCGATCACTTACTACGCTGCATCGGCCTCGTTACTTTCATCTCGGGGTCATTTCTCCACTTCGACTGGCTTGAGTCCATAGCACCTTCGTTTCATTCACTGCTAGCTCCTCCCATTCATTTGCCGCCGCCTGGATGAGAAAGCGGGCAGGATTCGACTCCACGACGACGCGAAGATGTCTCTGTCAAATCTCGTCGTTCCGACATCTATGCTTCATAGCCGTCACTTGGGTTTGATGAGGAGCGGAAGAGATGTCACTAGGATCGCATGATCGAATATGCGAAAGAAAGGAGGGCCACAGCATGGCGTCCGTGTCAGTGCCTGTCGATCATTGACCTGTAGCCATTTAATTAAATCCCCACTCGCTCTCGTGGTCCCACTGCCGAATTCCGCCTCACATTCCTTTTCAAGCCTTGTCTCAACATGCGATGAGACTAAATTTGAATGGATGTGTGTTTCTAGGAGGAGTGTGATGCTGAGTGATTGGAGCTGCTTTGGCACAGAGACGCCTGTAAGGCACAATCTTCCACAAGTTTAAGGAAGAATACTCGGCTTAGGCCTACCTTTGTAGGCTATTTGGAATGGCCTCGCCGAGCATCAATTGTAGCTTGGATGATATCGACCTCAGTGCCCTCAAGGTGAGACTTAGACTAGGTCTAAATTGGGTTAGGCCTTCTGTGTTCTTATGAGTCATGTTTCCATGGCTGCCCTGAATCCAATCATCAAAAGTACTGTAGCTACTTTTTACAACTTGCCCTCCCTTGATAGCAAGAGGTGCCAGCTCAATAGGTTATAGCTACTCAGACATCATTGCTAGATGTGGGTTTAATCTACTTTTTTTAATGCAGGCACAGATCACATTTCACTGCATGTTCTTAAGAACTGTGCAGATCCATAGCTCTATTTATCACTATCCTATTCAATAGATCCTTGGAAGCTGGTGAACTGCCTTCTGACTGGAAATGAGCTACAATTGCTCCTATCTACAAGAGTGGGGGAAAATCCCAACTTGAAAATTACAGGCCAGTGGCCCTTACATCAATTTGTTCCAAGATCCAAGAGCACATCATTCACTCACACATGCAGAGCATACTTTCCAACAAACAACGTGGATTCCATAAAGGGTGTTCATGTTCAACCCAGCTTTGCACCAATGTGGATGATTGGGTCATGGCCTAGACCAGGTGTCCCAAATGGACATTATAACCATAAACTTTGCTAAAGCCTTTCATACAGTGCCCAATGAAAGGCTGCTTTCCAAGCTGTCATCTTATGGTCTCTATGGATCACTTCTCTCATGGATGAGGAATTTTCCAGTAGACTGTAGCCAATGGGATCTGGTAAATCGGACCATCTCTGATTGGGTACCAGTAAAGGTTGGGGTCCCACAAGGATCAGTTCTGGTGCCACTACTATTTATATTACTCATAAATGGAATAGTTGAAACCTTAGACTGAAATCTGCCTGTTTGCTGATGATTGCATCATCTCCTATTAGATTCACCCTAAAGATGACTATGAAGCCCTCCAACAAGGTCTTAAATTACAGGAGTGGTTTGATGAGTGGCTCCTGAAGTTTAACCTTTTGAGAAGTATGCCTATACATATATGGGCTGATGTCTTCTTGCCCTCCATATATTCATTATGGTGGATCTTGCAGGCATTAAAAAATCCCACTCCTAAAATGGTTAAGCCAAATAAATGTTAAAGCTACGTAGGATATACAAACATCAACGCCCACTACCATCCTACCACCTTAATGGCACTTTTATGGAAGTGATAGACAGTGTAAAGTACTTGGGCATTTCCTTAAACTGAGACTGAGAAGAGTATATGAACATTGTGGCCAAAATCAGTAAGAGTTCTGGATTTGCATAAACACAACTTAAGAAATGCTCAAGGAAGCTAGGGCAACAACATATGTGCCTCTGGTTCATCCCACCTTGGAATATGTTGCTGAAGTGTGGGATCATTTTGAAATGGGTGAAAAAGAGGCTCTGGGAAAGGTACACCAGTGAGCTGCACAATTTGTGCTCAGCATCTACAATTGGGAAACCAACTCCAATGCTCTTGTGCAAGCATTTGACTGGTGAACCCTGGTTAATAGGCATAAGAATGCCAGGCTTATTGTATTCTACAAAATCGTACATGGCACACTGCTACTTGACACTCAGAGGTGCTTGACTAAAAGTAACAATAGAATAAGGAAGGGCATGTAGATTTGGTCTCTGCATTGCATTAGTGCTTGGACTTTGTTGTTTAACCCTTTCACGGTTACACACTGTAATATCAATTGCCCTCCAGGGAGGTTTCAGAAAAACTGTACCATGGAAGGGTTAAGCACAGCTATTTCCCCCAGACAGTTGATTAGAATGCTCTTCCCCCCCATTGTAGGATCACTACCCACTGTAGAATCCTTCAAGAAATCCCTCTAACCAATAATCACCTGCCCTACATCCTGCTGCCACCTTTGCTGGGTATTGCAGTATTTTTCCAGATCTCCTCTTCAAGTTTTTTACATTTTGGTATGATAGTGAATTGCCAAACCCTCTCATTGAGGGTAAGGAGAAAGAATAATTCTTCCCTTCGACTGAGTTTTATGCAGTAAGGCAGTGGTGTCAAACTCTAATAGACTGGGGGCTGGATAGAAGCCTTCAGATTAGGGGCCACAATATAAATCTAACACCTAATCTTTAATGCAAACAGGCTGAAATTTGCAGTACTTTTCTGTAACCAACTGTTGAAGAGGACTTTGCAGACTGGACAAAATGGTCTGGCAGGCCGGATCCAGCCCATGGGCCACCAGTTTGACACCCCTGTAGTAAGGAAATCTAATGGTTTAGGCATAGCAAGGACAAGTGGGGCACTGGGATAGATAGGCATGGAGGGTCACCCAAGATATAAGAAAGATTTTGGTTACCTTAGCATTAGATATGTCTTGTTGCTCTAAGTTATCCCTGTGGTTAGGTCTCCCATATAGGCCTATATAACTAGACCAAAATGAAATGAGGAATCGGTATAACCCATCTTGTCTTTTTCAGGAACCTGCTGGAATTTTTGAGCTGATCGAGGTTGTGGGAAATGGAACATATGGCCAAGTTTACAAGGTATGCAAGTTTAGTTCATAACAATTGGTCTGTGGAATTTTAAAGGTCTGTAGTAGGCATAGCCCTATGCTGGTTAATTCCTGCTTCCAGCTGCTACGGAGATGCTTGGTTAGGCTAAAGTTGAAATGTGCCATTTTCATTTTAGGGTCGACATACCAAGACTGGGCAGCTTGCTGCCATCAAGGTCATGGATGTGACAGAGGTGAGTCTCACATAGACGTTTATTCCTCATGGAGGTCAAAATCCTATATAAGTGCTGTTGATACCCCTATTAAAGTAAAATGGGAATATATTATGAGGCCAGTTTGGCTAAGTGAAAACTTGGACTAGTTTGGAAAACACAATGCAACCAAATCCCCTTTTAGGTACAAGGTTGGGCAATTGACATTAGAAATTAGCCTATGTTCTATGTTCAGCAACTGTATAGGGTATGTACAGAATCCCATTATCCCCTTCGCAACACTTGATAAATGTAACAAGGAAAACACAAGGGCTATAGCTGGAAACTATGACAAAATGGAGAGTGCTTTTGTAATAAACCAAAGCATCTTTTACATTAAGAACAGTTTTATTTGTCAACTAAGTCAGTATGTGCACCATCATTTTCAGAGCGCAGAATAATATGTTGCCAGGTTCAGTGTGACATTCCATGTGGCATTGCTGGAGTAATCTGTGAGAATGCATAGCCTCCTTCAGTTCTTCTGTTGACATATACTGTTGTTTTGATACTTTATCTTTTATCAATCCCCACAATGAGTTGTCGCATGTTGTCTTCTTTCAAAGTCATTCCTAATTTCAGCAATATTCTTGCCCGTGTGTGGTCTTTCATGAGCTCACACACTCATTACTACACATTCTTCAACTGAATACTCACTTAGGTCTGCCATTTTATTATCACAGGGACCACAGTCTCATACCTTTAACAGAAAAACAAAAAATTAGCTAAAGAAGTAACAAAAACCAAAAACAAATTAGAATGTGATAGGTGATGATGGGGGGTAACAGGACTTTGTATTGTGTCTTTTGCCCCTGTATGTGTGGTTTTCATTTATTTGGAAAATAATTTTTCACTTGTGTTTTGAGGGCTTATTTACTTATTGTTTATTGTTTCAGGAGGAGGAAGAAGAGATCAAGCTTGAGATAAATGTTTTGAAGAAGGTGAGTCTTTGGTATTGTTAAGTTGCTGTCATTCAAATTGTCTCTTCACTCATTTGTTTGCTTTTTTTTCAGTTCTCTCATCACAGAAACATTGCAACCTATTATGGAGCATTCATCCGCAAGAGTCCACCAGGGAAAGATGATCAACTCTGGGTAGGACTAGGACCAACTGTTATCACATTTTCCTGTTAATTTATTGCATCATCTGGAACTCAATCACTCATTGTGCTTTACTTCATCTTCCAGCTGGTCATGGAATATTGTGGAGCCGGTTCCATCACTGATCTTGTCAAATGTAAGCTTCCCATCGCTCACAGATGAGATAGTTCAGACACAAGGTATTTTGTTTTGCAATGATATTTAAACTTTGTGATGACTTTTCAGCAACCAAGGGTCAGAGTCTGAAAGAGGAATGGATTGCCTATGTGTGTCGAGAGATACTACGTGGCTTGTCACATCTTCATGCAAGCAAGGTCATACATAGAGACATCAAAGGACAGAATGTTCTTCTCACTGACAATGCTGAAGTAAAGCTGGGTATGGTATTTTTGAGTATCTTTTATCCCATCTCTTCAGAGCCTTCACTATGTTACACAGCATAATACATTGACATTGTACAGTGGACTTTGGCGTAAGTGCTCAGCTGGATCGGACCATAGGAAGGCGTAACACATTCATTGGCACTCCTTACTGGATGGCACCAGAGGTGATTGCATGTGATGACAACCCAGATGCAACCTATGATAACCGTAGTGATCTCTGGAGTCTGGGAATCACTGCCATTGAGATGGCTGAAGCTCAACCGCCCCTGTGTGATATGCATCCAATGCGAGCCCTCTTCCTCATTCCTCGCAATCCTCCTCCACGCTTCAAGAACCCCAAGAAATGGTCCAAGAAGTTTCATAGCTTCATTGAGACAGTGCTGGTGAAGAACTACCACGAGAGGCCGTATACGGATGCCCTGCTCAAGCATCCTTTCATCAGGGACCAGCCGACCGAGAAGCAAGTACGCATTCAACTAAAGGATCACATTGACCGTGTCAAACGACACAAGCTCAAGGGTACCCTTTTTCCTTTAGTCACCCTTTGTCATTCCTCAAATTCTTATGTTTCTGCTTGAGAAAAACTAAAGATCTGCCACCTATAGATCGGGATCTGGATGGATTGGGGATGGGCATGATCGCTGCAGCCAATGGTGCTGGAGTTCCTATGACACCTGGGGGATACGGGAGTGGGTCAGAAGATGAGGACACAGATGATGTTGTTGCTGGTGGACCATCTTCCATCCTGGGAGTACCTGGTGGTGGTGGTGGAAATGGGGCAGTAGCTGCTGCTGCACAGGCAGATAAGGGAGACACACTGAAGAGGAATTTCTTACAGATACAGGGAGAAGAAAAAGATGAGAAAAGGAAGGGTCCTCCTCTTCCTTCTGCTGCTTCTCACATCATTCAGAGGCCCTGTTAGTTACTTCTTCCATAGTTCTTAATTTCAGGGCCACCTAGAGTTTCAATAGAAATCTATTTAATGCCTTCTTGAAATGAATTGAAGCATGGGGTTGTAGGGATGTTTCATCTGTTGGTATAGTAATAATATTGGAGATTTTAAAAATAAGTATTTGTCATGCAATTTTTTGTTCTGATGATATCTAATTTTATATTAATGTGTCATGAATGCCCATTCCCTAAATACTATTATAGTATGTTTAGAGACATTGTCTGTACATGGCCCTATCCAGTAAACATCAGGCCTTCTTACCCTCTTTGAGAGGGTTTAGGAATTTTAATATCATGCCAAAATATAACAAATTTGTTGATCAGATCTTGAAAATTGTGTAATAGCAGTAAAGGTTATAGTGCACTGTAGGGTAGGTGGTTATAGGTCAAAGAGGGATTTCCTAAAGCAGCGGTTCCCAAACTGTGGGTTGCAAGAGGCATCAAGGTGGGTTGCAAACATTTTCCAGTGTAAAAAAATCACTATATCTGCATTCGCTCAGAATAAAACATGCCCTGCAGAAAAGGTCGATTCTGGATTCCGGTGGGTTAGGAAGCTTTTTTTAACTTGTGTTTGTAGGTCGCAATTCACAGAAGTCTGAGAACCGCTGTCCTAAAGTATTCTACTGAGGGTAGAGATCTTACTGTGGGGGGAAGAGAATTCCAATCCACTATCATCTGAGAGAAAAAACTATTTAAACAATGAAGTTCTTTTATGAATTATGATGCAGAGACCAGCTCTACATACCCTTCCTTGTTCTGTTGTTATTTTCAGTCAGAGAGTAGAGGTAACTACCATACTAGGTGCCACAAATATTACTGTTGGTTTTTATTTGAGAAAGAGGGGTGTGACAACGATACTTCTGAATACTTTTTTCCGTTGATCAGATTGATGCAGCCAATTGAGCCAATTGATGAAGCAGAAAATATGTATTAGTTGAGAACTGTGAGTAATAAGGGAGGGAAGAATGGATATTACCTCTGATGAAAATTTAGGGCCTTGTTAGAGAATATATTTTCATCTAGAGTTTATTCTGTGGTGCATTATGGTATCATGTAGTGCAGGGCCTAAAGCCAGTGTATACAGATAAAAAGAAAACACACTTCTCCCTCTATCTTGTCCTATGCTGAAGTGACTTACTACCCTTGTGGGAAACTATGCAACTGTTATTTGACACTGCCTTTGGAGGGAATGAGATCATGACATTGAAATGAATATGCCTTGCTAAGCCTAATTGAGGCTGTTGTCAACTGTAATCAGTAGTCATAGTGCAACATTAGACATTAGCCTCAAGTGTTGAGGGCAGAGGTGCACAACATATGGCCCATGGGCTGCATGTGGCCCATGAGGCCCTTGTATATGGCCTGTCATGACTGGTGGTGTTGTAAGTGCTACTATGGCTCTTGCCCTGTTGGCCACAGCTATGGTCGGCCAACTGCAGCCTGCGGTGGTTGAGTAAAAATTGAAAATGGCCCTCATAGCCTTTTGATTCAAGCACCCTTAGTCTAGGGTATATCCCTGTCCTTTGGGCATGTCTTGAAAAGGTAAAAAATGTTGAATCTGATGTGATTTGCATGCATCAACATTCACACAATCTGAAAAGATTTACCTGCAAATTTTATTTGCATTTTGTTTAGTCATATACATTAAAGGGATGTGGCAATGATTTCAGAAAAACATTGAAAAGAGAGGTGAAAAAAATCATTTTTAAGTCTCATTTTCAAACTTCAACTCATTGCTTCATTTACCTTTCTACTGCAAGTTTCTGTCATTTCCAGAATGACATTAGAGTTGCAAAGCTAGGCAGTGGTTGTCGTGTGGGACATGACAAAGATGCACATTTAATGTTGTTTATTGATAGTGATGATAGAATATCAGGAGGCAGAATTTTAATTGTTGGAAAATTGGTAAATAATATCATTACATACATATTGGAATAGGACCATTTGCTTGCCATTAGAAAGCCTGGGCATACAGGATGAATCATAATTAGTTCACCAAGTTTGAGGCCTTATAACTACAGGTATGGGAAAGGTATGAATATAATAAAAATAAAATTTTAAACTTTAAAATAAAAGTGTAATGTTGTGAAATATGCTTCATGAAGACATTATGACATTATTGACTCACAAAACTCTGTTCATCTACTGTACAGTGTGCTAAGCCTTGAGTCAGGTCTTCACAGGCTGGGCTGGTGAAATTTTCTTGAGAGGAGTATGGTGGATGACTTGGTCCACCAATATATATGAACAAATTTTTTATTATTGATTCATTACATCAATGAAAGAAGAAAGAATCCTCCTCCCCAAAGTCCAGTTGGTTAAAAAGGATATGGAGTAAATGAAGAAGTTACTCATGTAGGATGTGGGGGTATGTTGGATGTGGGGGTGGGTTTCATTGTAGTGAATGTTTTGTTTCTTGCTCTGTGGGTTAGGTAGCCATATTATTGTCATGCAACAATATGTCTGATGTATTTTTCCTGCATCCAAAAGATTTCCTTGTTTTAACATCATCCATTACCAGAAATCCATCATAAAAGCCCAATTTTTTTTGTTTCCAGTGCCAGATCCCCCAAGTCGACCACTTCCACTTCCTCCCAAAGAAGAGGTACGAGATCGAAACAGAGATCGTGATGCTGTTTCACGTCAGCCTCCAAAAGCCAACCGCAAGCCAGAAGTGAGTTCTTCCTTCTTCCTTGTATGTTTCTCTCCTCATTTTATTCTCTTGGATGGTGGTTATTCTGAAATTCAGGAACTGGATGCATTGGCTGCTCACCTTAATGAGCTGGGTCGAGGGGCTGAGCGAAGGAGGGAACGAGATAGAGATAGAGATCGAAGAGAGATTGAGAGTGAGGAAGAGGAAGAAGAAGACAATGAAGAAGTGGAGGCTGAAGAGGAACAGTTGGCTGATCGAAGGCGACGTTCCCGTCCTCCCTCTGATGGAACCCTTCTTGCATCTGATCCACCTCAACCACTTCCTTCAGATGGATTCACAGCTGCCTTGTTGGAAGGAAGTGGAGGAAGCCGGGCTGCTGCTCCCAGTCGTCCACTCCCACCCACTCCAGATGAAGATCCTGATGATGATGATGTGCTTCACCACATGGCAGGGCGTGGCAGCTCGGTGCTTCCAGATCTCCTCACTCAAGCTTCATCTCGTGGTCGAGAAGAGAAAGGTGCAGGCTTGCAGGGCAAGCAGAGAAGTTTTTTGGCTTATGGATTTGGAGCATCCGGTGCATCGCAGAGTCCCATGCGACGAGGCGAGCGTGAGCGTGAGAGAGACAGCGTAAACGTGAATGTTGGCGGGAACTCAGATGCAGTTGCATCTCCTGACACACCAGAGATCCGGAAATACAAGAAGAGGTTCAATTCAGAGATTCTCTGTGCTGCTTTGTGGGGTGTGAATCTTTTGATTGGGACAGAGAGTGGGTTGATGCTCCTGGACCGGAGCGGACAGGGGAAAGTGTATCAACTCATATCCCGCAGGCGTTTTCAGCAGATGGAAGTACTTGAAGGCCAGAACATCTTGGTGACCGTATCAGGGAAGAAGTCTCGTGTCAGAGTTTACTACCTTTCTTGGCTCAAGGCCAAGATCCTTCGAACTGAACAGGTAGGCATGTTGTGTGGTATATTTCACACTGTCACTTTTTAAAAGATCAAGTGTCTGCTGGAAATAGTAATTTACTGGATATACTGTTGATTCTCGTGGCATTTTTTCCCCCGAGTGTTGACCAAAGTACAGCAAGTTAAGGTCACATGTGAAGTCTTTTCTCAAGATGGTATTCAGAGAGCTTAGAACATGGGATGTGTATTTGTACTGTATTTTTTAAATTATAAATGAATACTTTTTTGGGAAAGCAGGGGCAGGCTTGTAAGACTTTTGTGAGACATGCATTTGGAAGTTAGGCTCATGTTTTAAGGGGCTAGCTAGTGAAGTTATGGTGGCAAGCTCAAGAAGTTGGTTTCATATGAGTGTGATTGGTAGGCATTAAAGTTATTTGTAAGTCAAAGTCCATATGGCTGCTGCCAAAGGTTCCATACTTTTGCCTTTGAGGATGAGGAGTCTGGAGCATAATGCACCCTTCTAAGGCAATACAGTATTTGTCATAGCATGACAGTCTGAGAGCTACAACATTTTAAATGTTTCATATATGAAACTAGATCTAAGCATTGTCAAATACTTGTGTTTGTGTCTTGCAGAAAGCTATAGCAATTGCACAAGATATAAAGTATAAATGCCTATGTTCAGTAATGAATTGAAAAGAAAGAAAATACATTCTGACTTTCCAGAAGCACCCACTTATATCCACTCATTGACCTTTAGTCATGCCCAGCCATGATTGAGTTAGATGGGCTGTTGGCAAACTTTTTTCAGTTAAAGGAGTATGCAGAACTGAATGGCACTCTCTGTGATGCAGCAACAGGTGGAGCGCCGCAATGGATGGATCAACGTGGGTGACCTCCATGGTGCTGTACACTTCAAGATCGTGCGCTATGAGCGCATAAAATTCCTGGTGATAGCACTGCGTGAGAGCATAGAGATCTATGCCTGGGCCCCTCGACCGTATCACAAATTCATGGCTTTCAAGAGCTTTGGGGACCTGTCCCATCGGCCTCTCCTGGTGGATCTCACAGTGGAGGAGGGATCTCGGCTCAAGGTCATCTATGGGAGCTCCGAAGGATTCCATGCCGTGGACCTGGATTCTGCCTCTGTCTACGACATCTACCTCCCCAAACATGTCTGTTCTACTCCTCCTCTCTTTCCCTCTTTGAACTGTTTATGCCTCACCTACAACTGATATAATTTTAACTGACCCTGCTCCAAATTGTTGCTCACTGACTTTATTTTCTTTTTCTTTTTTGGTTCTTGCTAGATGTGATTCAAAGAGAGTGTATGTTACTCTCTAAAGTGCATTATTATACGACAGTCTCAGTTAATCAGAATCTCTTCTTGATGGTTATTAAATGGTCCTATTAGAAGTTAAAGTTGCAGAATGATGAGAGGTTCAAGGAAGGCCTAGATTATTTGCTTCCAGAGATGTAAATGCCATTAAAGAAGAATGAGTCATATTTCAGGTCTCTATCCTGTTCTGGACCCTTGTTCTATGTCATGTTTTCTCACTGCAGATCCAGGGGACAGTGGTGCCACACTGCATTGTGGTGTTGCCCAACACTCAGGGGAAGCATCTGCTCTTATGCTATGACAACGAGGGGGTCTACGTGAACACGTATGGGAAGCCGGTGAAGAATGTCGTCCTCCAGTGGGGAGAGCTGCCAACGTCAGTGGCATACATCGGCACTGGGCAGATCATGGGCTGGGGGAACAAGGCCATTGAGATTCGTGATGTGGACACCGGTCATCTTGATGGAGTCTTCATGCACAAGAAGGCTCAGAAGCTCAAGTTCCTCTGTGAACGAAATGATAAGGTCTGACTGTCTTTTCCAAGGATCCTCTTTGACCCTTGTAAATTTGCAAGTATATCCATGGGAATGAGTTCTCCCAGCTAGAGTAGAAAACTGAAGCAAATGTCTCTTGCCATTGAAGATATCTGTGTGAAATGAGCTTACTGGGGATCTAGATGTTGGCTATTGCCTAGCAAGTGGTAAAGATTCAGTCTCTGCTCAGCTGAGGACATGTGCCTCCTATTTACTCATATTCTCATATCCTTGCCCTTTGCATACTATCTCCTAATTGTTTTATGCCACAGAGATATTCAAATACTTAGAAATATTTAGAATGTCTTAATTTCATTTTGGATGCAATTGTAGCCAAAGGAAGTATTGAAAACCAAAGTGTACATCTTTAGGATCTTATGGAAGGAAATTCTAAATTTGTTCAATACTTGTACACGGGGATCCTCTACGAAAAGAAAAAGATGCATTGCTAGAAAGTGCTCTGATTTCCTTCCCAACTAAGAAAGAGTTAAGTATTTCTAATTAGGCCTTGCATTTTGAAGGTGATGGGGGCCAATATGTTTATACCTTCATCATAGCTGGGTCTCACAATGAAGAAGACATATTTATTCTTTTTTCTTTTTGTCAGTGTTTTGGATATTGGTGCCTTTATTTCTTATGAAATAGAGGAACAATGAACAAAGAAAATAATGGTTGATTGTTGCAGGTGTTCTTCTCGTCAGCCAAAGGTGGGAGTTCGTGCCAAATCTACTTCATGACCCTAAACAAACCTGGGCTTGCCAACTGGTGAATTGGTCACTAGGCCTCCACCTTTTTTTTAAAACATCTTTGCGTTGCTACTTCCTCTTGTTTTTTTTTCTCATTATCAATGACATCAGGACCACTTTCTATTGTTATCATCATGTCATCATCATTATTATTATTATCTTTTTCTTTTTTACCGGTACTGAATTCTGTTGTCTTTCGTTCGAATTGAAAACCTGAGGAAATGCTCCTTGGTGTTTTCCTTGGCTTGTGGACATGGATGGAGAGAGATTGTGCATGTTTATGTCTGTAGCGTGTGGCATGGCTAGGCATTTTCTGTTTTGGATCCAACTTTCCCTCAGATGCCTCAAAGTTCTTGGAGGAAGAAGGGGAAGCCTTGGAGGAAGAATCCTCTTTTTAAACGCGCTCATTTATATTGGAATAAAAGTGAAGATAAATGGTGGATTTGATCGTATTTAATCCTGTGGGTCCGGGTTCTGTCACAGTGAGATTGGGTTTGAAAAGTTGTCATACAGAGCGTTGGGCATTCTTGATCTCTGCAGCTTCCCCATAGTGGCCCTCCCCCCTCCCCCTCCTCAGCCTGGAGCATGAAAATTTGTGAAGAAAAATTAGATTTAGCATCATTTATAAGTCAGGAATGCAGTGATAATTTTAAATGGTTATGTTACCGCACTAATTTCAGAGCCATTTTTGTCTCAGATTTTAATCCTCGCCTTGTTATGAACTGCGCCAATTCCAATTCAGAACTGCACGTATCGGTTACAACTAATAAAATGTGCCCTGTAGTGGCGCTATTGCTGTGATGGCAATCCCCTTGTTTCCTGTGCTCTGTGTGATGAGACCGTTCTAAGTTGCGGAATCTGTATTTCGGAGTCGTCGTGGAGCGGGTGGTCCTGCGGCTTTTCCACCCGAGCGCAAAACAGCAGTGGCATTCCAGCCGATTTCTATCGATTCTTGGAAGGTAACGACGATGGACTCTGGTATTGTTTGAATCGCTATCTAGTGACATCAAGAAAAAGGTGTTTCAGCAATAGAACAGCTCGCGAATACCATCAAGGAAGTCCTCTGGCACCAATTTTTTGCACCTTCATTCTACCTGGAAGAAAAAAAAGGAAGAAACGGAAACACGGGAATGAGCCGACGATTCGTCTGCACGAATCGAGTTTGCATTACCTCGTCGCGTGTCGACTGGGAGAAACCAATCTCAAGAGATGCATTCTCGCGAGCATGGAAAGGAAACGGAAGCCTATCGCACGAATCAGCCGATTTCTCCGAATGAATTTCTCAGACTGGGAGGCGATTGGACTCTCCTCCATCGCCTGGACTGCCGTCTGACTTCGTCCCTCTTCGATGCTGCGAGCTTGGGGGGTGGAATTCTCCGGTAAAGCGTCGTCGACGGCGAAGGCCTCCTGCCTCTTCCATTATCGAATCTCCACATACGACATTCCAGACAGTGTAGAAATCTCTGTGTGTGCGATGCACTCACTGGGCATTCACTGAAACGCGGAAGACCACTGAGGTTCCTTTCGTCACGAAACGAGAGCAAAGGAAGCAAAATGCACTCCTGCAATTCCTTTTCATTCACTGAAGAGGTTCAAAGAAAACGGTCGATGCGAAAGGACGTGAGAGGACTCGTCCTCCCGCTAGATGTCTCTGGCACGGCTTCCGCGTTCTTGCACACGTTTTCTCGTCGTTTTGGCGCTCGTGGGAGAATGAACGGCAGAGAACCGATACGCCTTCGCCTCGATTCCCTTTCTGGCATTTCAATTTCCTTGAAAGGATGAGGAATAGCGGAATGGAACTCTGAGAAAACTCACGGCTGGCAAGTTCTCTCGGGTATTTGAATGAGTCTGATGCGACTCGATTCCGAAAAGATTCATCTGTTTCGGCTCGGAACCTTCTGGCCGAGCCGTACCGAGGGTTTTCTGCGCCTTGTGCGAGATATCAATCCAGCGCCCCCCATCCATCAAGTTTCCCAAGCACCAACAGTACATTTTGTATTAACTTTATAGAAAAATACATCTATAATTTGTATTCCCAATATATTTAAATTCAGAATATTAAGTAACTGGAATACAATAATTAATAGAAGTATTTCGACACATGAGATGATGTGTATTTAAATATATTAAAATAAAATACATTGTTTAGGTCATGAAACGCGGAATATTTTTTTCCTCAGGGATTGGATATGTGTAGGAGTAAGAATATCAAGAAATATAGGAAACTAGGAAAGTTTCAAGTTATGCAATGCAGCTACAAAATGACAAAATACTAACACTTTCAAAGTATAATAGATCAAACATATAAATACTATACAAGTATGAAAACGATTATGCAACGTTCAAATTCCTACTTGTAAAGTGTACCAAAATAAATGAAGCCTAAAGCCTACAAATGTACTCTTCTCGCCTTCAGTGATGCAAATTCATTGATGACATGGTCATAGTTCAGAGAATTGGCCAAAGCAAATTCAATTGATATAATGACTAGGTTGGGCAACCGTGGAGGATCGGAGGTAATTCTTGATTAATTTCAGCTCACGGAAGCTCCGTTCACATGAAGCTACAGTTACAGGAAGTGTTGAAAAGATTCGAAGTGCAATTTCAATGTTGGGGTAGGCGTCTTTAAGGAAGTAGGAATGAATTAGTTGTAGAAGGCCCATTGGGGTACAATAGCTTTGGCCAAATTTGACATCAATGAATCTGCCTGGAATTTGAAACTCTCCACTTCCGAAGCAAATTCCACAGCATCGAAGTCGTTTAGGTATTTCAATGAAAGGTCCGCTGTACATTTCCACAGACATAGATGACAGAGAATGGCCAGTAAGAAATTCGAAGTCAGATGATACTTCTGCCATATTCTCAAAACGCCACTGCATCTGGGTGAGAATACGATCAAAGAGAGCGTTGTATTCCCTGCCAAAAGAGTATTCAGGTGTCAACAGATGACTTTCATCTTCAGCCATTTCACTGGCCATGCGCTTCACCTTTCACTGCCTCTTCTCAGGGAAACCTGGTTCAATGCCGAGTTTCACTGCTGTTTTCTTTGCATTTTGGAGAATCTCCCCGACTCCACTGACTCGCAAATTTTGGATGGATCCCAGCAGTCCTTTCAGCATTTTTGCAGCACCATCAACGGACAGGTTCGTCGTTTGCAGTTCACTTGATTAATCAAAGTAGGTATCTTGCTCCACAGATCAAGCAAGCAGAGGAACTCAAAATCAATCTGTGCCCCCGATACTGTTTCAGCGTTGAGACTAGTGTCATTGGAAATCTCTTGCCAGATGCTGTGAACATCTTCGATTTGCTGATGAAGTGGGGCCACTGCCCGCTTCTTGGAGGACCAACGAGTTGCACAGTGCCCTCTCAGCGAGGTCTTCAACACTGCCATACGTTTCTCCCATCTAGCTGTTGAACCTGAGAAGTACGTGAGGAATCTTTGGAGTATATCAAAGAACATGACCATTATTGCAGATACTTCGGCTGCATGGACTCCGACCGGATTGAGAGTATGTGCAGGGCATGGTAAAAACCTTGCCAATTCATTCAGCAGCCTAATTTGAGCCGTGGTATTTGCCTGCCATATTGGTGCCGTTGTCATATCCTTGTCCCCTGCAATCTGCTATTTGTAAGTCATCTTTTAATTTTTTTCGCTACTTCCTTGTGGCTCTCACTGTCTCCCACGCCTTCACCCACGCGCTTACGCGCACGACTCTCGCTCCCCAGTCTCCCCCATTATCTTCTTTCCTGTAGCTCCTGCCACATATGATCCTTTCCCAAATCCCATACTCCGTCGCGCGTTCCCTTGCAGTTTCTTCATTCCAACTTTTGTTTACATTTCCTAATGAAACATCTTAGAATATTCTGAAAACAATGGCCTCCTTTGTGTTTCCTTTTTCCAAAAATAGGTCATTTTTTGCGGAAGAACGAGCAGTGCGAAAACGACAACCTTCAACAAGTCATCATTTTATTTCATCTCCTTCACAAAACTTTTTTTTTTTTTTTACAAGACTAAATAGTCAAATTTTAATAACTCAAAGAGGTATTCAAGGGGAAATATTGGAGGGCCAGTTAAAATTCGATTAATTTCGACTACTTTTTTAAATCGCGATTACAAACTTAATCGATAATATGGCTTGATCGATTAGATTCATATCTAGTCAATGTGCAGCCCTGGAATGAAATTATCTCTTACCTTTTCAAAAATTTTAGATTTCTATTTGCAATTAGATGTACACAATAATTAGAAGAACATTCATTCACAGACAAACATGATACTGGTCACAAACCAAAGCAAAAGTAGACAAATTAGCAAATTAATATGAAATTTTAAGGGAAAAAATTACTTGGAAAAAATGTCTGCGACTTCTGACTTCAACTTACTGACCAATTCATCTTGCCAGCATTCTCAAGCATACAATCTTCTCGAACTCATATCATATACAGTACTTTTACAAAGCATTATATTATGGAGAACAATGCATTTAAACATGAAAACTCATCTGACAGTATGGAAGTATTACAGTCGAGTAAGAGATTCATATTCACGAACAAAAATTTTTCAATCACGGCGAAGTTTTTGGTCATTGTAAAGGTAAAGTGCATTTTCCTCGATTAAGCGCAACACGTTTTCTCGGATGACTGCCCCTTCTGCTTCAGCTAAAAAAAAAAATGTGGTCAATTTTTTACTTTAATGGACGTCCATTGTAGAAAATGTTTCATGGAGATGGGGGGAGGGGGGGCGAAAATTTCATTTCTTATTGGAAAATCAGAATTAGGGTGCGCACTTCTCATCTGAAAGGAAAAACTAACGTAGTATTAGGTTGTTTCACATGAAATGTCCGATTTTTCTCTATACAGGCAGTCCTCGACTTACGACGCTCCGACTTACGACACTTTGACTTAGGACGCTCTAAGCCTAGGGCTGAAGGAGTCATTGACATGTAGGCCTGAGGCCTCCCCCGTATTACCGTCATATGTCGAGGACTGCCTGTACAATGTGATGTCTTCAAAAGAATTGAGACTACTTTTTTTTGCATGAGTTCAAATTGGGGCGTAACGCAGCTNAAATGAAGCCTAAAGCCTACAAATGTACTCTTCTCGCCTTCAGTGATGCAAATTCATTGATGACATGGTCATAGTTCAGAGAATTGGCCAAAGCAAATTCAATTGATATAATGACTAGGTTGGGCAATCATGGAGGATCGGAGGTAATTCTTGATTAATTTCAGCTCACGGAAGCTCCGTTCACATGAAGCTACAGTTACAGGAAGTGTTGAAAAAATTCGAAGTGCAATTTCAATGTTGGGGTAGGCGTCTTTAAGGAAATAGGAATGAATTAGTTGTAGAAGGTCCATTGGAGTAGCTTTGGCCAAATTTGACATCAATGAATCTGCCTGGAATTTGAAGCTCTCCACTTCCGAAGCAAATTCCACAGCATCAAAGTCGTTTAGGTATTTCGATGAAAGGTCCGCTGTACATTTCCACAGACAGATGACAGAGAATGGCCAGTAAGAAATTCGAAGTCAGATGATACTTCTGCCATGTTCTCAAAACGCCACTGCATCTGGGTGAGAATACGATCAAAGACAGCGTTGTATTCCCTGCCAAAAGAGTATTCAGGTGTCAACAGATGACTTTCATCTTCAGCCATTTCACTGGCCATGCGCTTCACCTTTCACTGCCTCTTCTCAGGGAAACCTGGTTCAATGCCGAGTACCAATATTGATAAACAGACAAGGACCGATTCTGCTGCACGACAATGCTCGACCCCACACGTCACGAACCACCGTGGGAAAATTAACTGAATTGGGCTATGAAATTTTGCAGCATCCACCATACCCACCTGACCTTTCACCAACGGATTATCACCTTTTCCGTCACTTGGAGCTGTTTCTCCGGAATAAAACATTCCGGGACCGAGAGGCTGTAATTGGAGCATTTGAGGAGTTTGTTAATTTAAAAAATGTAGAATTTTATAGAAATTGAATATTTTCCTTAGTATCCCATTGGGAGAAGACAATTCAAGCTAATGGAGCATATTTTGATTAAATGAAATTTTATTTGTCCAAAATATAGCCTTTTAAATCTCATCTTCAAAATTGGACATTTCATGTGAAACAACCTAATATTTGTATCGTTTCGTTTCAAGTGATTACGATGAATTCGTACATTTTTAATAGTATTTTGGTAATATTTCAGCTGCCAATCGGCGCCCCCCTCAGTTCGTCGCCCTGTGCGGGGGCACCGCTCGCACACCCCTTGTTACGGCACCGCTCGGGAGGTGCCAGCCTCGACTCTCAAGGCTCATCCTTGAGGAGATACTCGTTCGTTTGCTCGATTTCGTCGCGGGTTTCTGGGTGTCTGGGGCGGTGAGGCGTCTCACGTCGTGGCGTGTGTCTGTTGCAGAATCAGCATTCGAGCAGTCCGGGCAACGAGCTGAAACATCTTTCCGAAGTCCTACACATGCTTTTGGTAAGTTTTGACTGCTCCGTGGACTTCTCCAGAACGTCATCATTCTAAAAGTTTCGTTTCTACGTTGCAGGGAGTGGAAGATGAAATGCATTCGGATAGCCTGCAGTGGATCATCGATGGGTTCAGCGAACCCGACTCTGGCGTCGAGGTCAACGGACTTCTGGGTCGGTATTTTTTTTCTGCAGTTTCTCGAGGGAAACGGAAATGGAGCCGATTCCGCTGATCGTTTCCTTGTGCTTGCGGCCGTGATACAGAGCCGCCATGCAAATGACAGTCGGAGGAGTTACCAGGCGCTGAAATTTCTGGTGTCCCTGTGCGGGAAGCTACCTCTCGCGCGGGAGCAGTTGAGTCAGTTGCCTTCGAGCACGAGATGGCAATAGGCCGTCGGTTGGCTCCGTCGGAAGATGGCCGACCACGAACAGTGGACTGCAGAGGTGGACACGAGCAACGAAGACACTTCCGTCTCCCTCGCGTTCCAGCAAACCATGAGCGCTCAGGTAGGCCTCGTCGTCTGGCTCTCGACGGGAAAACGGTGATCGTTGGTCTCGATCGAAATTCTTTAATTTTCGGTCTTTAATTTTCGGCTTTGCAGGACACGTTGGCCGAGGCCAAAGCGCTCTTCACCGAGTTCGAAGTCGGGGAGATGGAGATCGAGGAAGAGGAAGGGCCCTAATCGAAGAGGAAACAGAGAGACGCCCGAGTGCAGAAAGGGAGCAGGAGGACCCAGCTTTCGTCGGTGCCAATTACCTCAATGTGTCCCAATTTTGTGATCTTTCTAATGACTCCTGTCGCTGTGATGGAGCTCATGTGCCTCAAAGCATGGAATAGGAATTTTTTAATTTTCTGTTTCTTTCTCACGTGGCAAAATTCTGCCGTTTTCCTCTTTGACCGCATAACTGCCTGCTCGTTGTTGCTCAAAAACATTACCCTCTTTGATGATTTTGAATGCTCTTGAAACAGGAAGAAGACATATTTTCAAAATATTTGCTGTGGTTCTTACCTGGCATAAGTACAAAGACCTCGTGACATTCTGTCGCGAGTCGTGATACCGCGATCGATTTTAATCAAAAGTTACTTTCTATAGGTAATCGGTAAAATGGACAAAGAGGAGGATATAAGATATTAATATTCTCATCATTGTCCCCCTTGGGACGATGATGTGAATTTTAATTCATAAATTGCCGGATTGTTCCAATATACATGGAAAATTCTGAAACCTGGGAAACTAAGAATTCGTGAGGATTGCTAGATGTCATACCGGGCGTAACTACTACCAAAGTACTCAAATGAAAAAAGGAAAGAAAGAAAGATAGGACCTCAAAACGGAAATAAGAAAAACCAAACCGTTTCAAATTTATTCAAGCTGTCATAAGGGGGGAAACGATGCGCCACTGAAAGAAACAGGGTGAAGGACTTTCCCTACAAAGAACCATCGACAAAGAAAATTGTCAGTACCTCATTAGATATAGCTTATATTAGTATCTGATTCAAATTCAAATTTGTACCCCGAAATTTGTCGACTCATGGACGCAGTCCCGAAATTCCAGTAAATCGTCCACATTTCAATAAAGATCCCTTTTTAGAATTCTGACTATACCTTACTTTTGGAAATCAGATGGCTCCTTTGATAAAAATAAAATATAGTTTCCAAAAGTACCCAGTTTATTACAAAAAACGGTTTCCAATGAGATAATACATAGAAAATTACATGCATTCCATGTAGTTTTATCATTTCCACCATACCCAGTAGATAACGTCATTATGATCAAGGGGACCGTAGGTATCCATGGCAAGGATAGTTTACTCATGCTTATACAAGGTTCCTTTCGCGAATTAAGATTTCAAACGTTCACCGTGAGGACGAGCTCTCTTCGGGGTGAGAAATCCGATTCCACGGTGAAATTTCGAACCGTAATCTCGTATACTCGCGGACGCTATTCATTCCTGGGTTTCCATTCCTTGCCTCTCGGAGGATTTCATCGCATTTTCAGGCCTTTTTGAGGGTAAAAGGAAGTGTTAATCGTGTAGTGGACACCCTCGAAAACGAGATTTCCCAAAATCGGAAACGCGCCATCTTCGTCAGAGCGACACAGGGGCCGTATTCATGAAAACTTCGTAAGAATGCGATTTTCTCACGAAGTTCGTATGAACTTCGTATCTTTGGTATTCACGAAACTTCCTAAGTCCTCTTCTCATTCTTACGAACACTGTTGGCATTCGTAGCAATGATAATGAACCAGCCAACCATAACCTTTGCTCGGGAGCCACCAAACCAATTGCTGGGTAGAAAGCAACGTGGTTCTCACGCTGGCAGCATGACTCACGAGTCATAGGAGCATTCTGCAAACTTTCTGCGCATTCCGTGCCGTTGTTTCTGCTCTTACAGGAAGTTTTAACACGACTGGAGATCACGTCGAATCTTCGAAAACACCTTAAAAGACGGTACCCAGTGAATCTCAACGTAATAAAAACTACCTCAAGGTTTCAGAAATACCCAAGGAAAAGTTCCGAACGCAGTATCAACGTTCGTATCATGGAGAGTAGAGGAGAGAGTGGTCGACGACCGAATTTCACCAGTTAGAAAATTGGGATGCTCATCGAAGGAGTCGAGCGAAGGAAGAATGTCTTGCTGAAGAAACTCAGCTCAAGCGTTGTAGGAAAAATGAAATTGCAAGAATGGGATTTAGAGACTGAGGCAGTGAGCGGTCTCTCCTCTGCACGGAGAACTGCTAAGAAAGTAAAATCTAATTCGTTGACCTGAAGTGACGTGCAAAGGCGAAAGGAGTTGAGTTTCTCAGGGAGAGTAGCAGGACTGGCAGTAGATCTTTCCCACTGTCAGACCTCTGTCGAAAGATTTTTCAATAATTGAGGGGGAAAAAGAATTTTGCTGGAGCATTATCATCTTACTTTTATGACACTGGATGAATGTGAATAACACCATGACCTCCGAGACAAAATCTTGCGAATCCTGTGTGCATACATCCTGTTAACCGCCCAGTGTGAATGAACCTTAATTGAGACACCCAATGAAAGAGAGTTCCGCAGATTTCCTCGACACACCTACGATACCTCGGGACCATTCGTAGACTTACGAAGAAAGATATGAACTTTTGCGCTTTCGTGCATACCAAAATTGAGCAGCATTATTAAGAACTGCACACGAACTTCGTAAGAATTCCGTGGCAGGAGAGATTTGATGAATACCACTTTGATGAATACTTTTTCTTGGTAAGAGAAAAGTTCGTAAGAATGTTTCGTGAATACGGCCCCAGGAGAGGCACTCGGACCGAGTGTGTGTGTGAAAGTTAATCTCGACATCCGCTCCAGATGCATGGACTGTCCCTCCCCCTGGGTACCATTACTCATTGTCCAGTGGTAACGGTGGGCTGGATCGATGAAAATGATCTTGCAGCCCTCCGGCATGCTATTGTGACGGTCTCGTCTGACCACCCTTCCGGAGTACTGAATCCGGCACGGTGGGGTACCGGCGAGGTCCGCTCTCCAGTCCGCAGACTGGATGTCGACACCTGGGTCAACTGCAGCCGTACGGGAGGCTCTAGGATCGGGGTGAACCCAACGAAACTCAGGGAAGCGGATAGGGGACCTCAGCTCAACTTTTAATGCGAGACACTGGTTTCAACAACAACACGACAGTTTCTTTACCGGACCGATCGGGGCAATCCGGCCCGTCGCGATACAAAGGAACGTTACGGCCAAGAAAGCTATTATGCACCAGCAAAATGCAGACAGATGTACCCAAAGGTGATCGCCAGACGCGAACGCGAACGAAGGGGACAGGGGCAATACACAAACAGGGCAAGCCCACCGTCTAGACGTGGATTCGGCGCGAGAGAGTAGAGGGTAGAGAACCTCGTTTCCTCGGTTTGCGAATGTGGTCCAGAGCGGGACGGACGGGTATTCAGCACAAAGGGTTAAGCACCTCGATTTCCGAGACAGAAAAAAAAGTGTAAAACTGCCTCGTCTCTTATGGGGGGATGGCACGAGCCGCGTCCCCGGTGCACACTTGTCCCAAGACAGCCCTCGATATGACGTCAACTCTCTCCCCGGAACAAATGTTCGCTGTGACCCGATGAATGGCGTTACAGCGCCACCTTCGATAGCCGCCATCATTTGTACACACGTGCTTTTGCGCCAAGTAGCTTACATGCCGCAACCCTTATCCATGACGATACGCAGGGACGCATGTGTTGCCACGGTGGGAGGTGACTCGTGGTCGAAGAGGGGGTGACCTATGAACAAGTTCAGTGTATCGGGGGGAATCGAGGTGGTAATACGAGCTTCACGTCTTTAGTCATAGCTTCATGAGAACCAACCTGGGATCGAGTCGGTTTGGAACCGGCCAGATGGGCTTGCGTCTCTCGTCTCTCGTCGTTCCACTGCGGGGGTTGGAGGGCCTTTCTGGACGAAAGCCCTAAGCTGCCATCGTTTTTGGTACCGATACTACATACCGGCCGTTTTGATGAAGCCAGACGACACTCAAATTGATCGATATCGTTCCTAGCGCCAGGTCTAGGTGATCGTGTGGGGAATGGGGAGTCTCCCCGTGAGACATCTATCAAGTGAAAGCCGAGTTATTAGACGTTACCGATCGAGTCTCCTAGGTGATGATCCTGCTTGGTTTCTCCAGCTAGTAGCAGGATCATTTGATACAGATGGACAGATCGACTTCGCCCCAGTTCCATGGCTTTTTCCCCCTCCAAAAAATATTTTTGCTGCTGGGAGAGGGGGATGCTGCCTTCAGTATCCTTTGCCGTCGAGTTTTCGCTACATTACACTTCTTGCGATATTCTATGCCCGATCTTCAACTCCAGGAAAAAGTGCACAATCGTACTTTAATTACACGCATTTAAATGCGGCTGGCGATGAGCAGCACAGGTCTATGCCTTCGTCAGACGCAGGAACAGAAGGCGTGATGTCATCGCAGCACAGGAAACAGCATCGTTCACTTCCATCATCAATGTTCACATCCCCCGCCACACGCACATTCACTCACATTCACATTCCCCACGTCACGCACATTCTGCACGTGTCAAATCCTCGGCTCTCGTAGGCCGTGCAGCTGAAGACCGAGGTGGAAGGCTGAATAGAGATAAGGGTTGACCATTTTGCACTTGGGTCAAAAGGGAGAAAAAATATTATTTAGTTTCTATCTGGGAACAGAAATTCTTTCGTTTCGTCAGAAATTTCTTTATATCCGATTTCATTATAGTCCTATCCGAATTATTTAGCTTGGGTTTCTGTGGACAACGTGGACAACGGCCGGGCAACGTCAAAATGGGGCATCGAACTTAAAGGAAATAACAGCCAACATGGATTCAGTGGTAAATACGAATCTATTCCAATTTCCAGGAGCCCCCGAAGGAGCCTCGTGCATCACAACAGGAGAAAATAAAATATCCATAAAAATCCATAAATATCTTCCATATTCTCATAATCCACTCAATCGCACAAATTTGGTTCTCTCTCGGGGAGAAAAAAAAAACATAATAGTAACATAACAGTAAATAGCTGCGGAAGGCACCAACTAATGAATGCAATCGAAATATCACACACTCAAGACCTGCTCAGACATCACAGGGCGGTGTTGCCGAGTCCCAGTTCACTTCACTGGTCGTCATACATTGAACACATGGACACCAAGCAGTTTCCTCAGCAAGTCACCGTGTCGCATTACGGTCAACGCACTGGTGAGTACTAGAGTCCTCACCCCTAATTGGATGCACCACGTCTGCCGCCAGAACCTCCTCTCCCTCTGTCTCTCTCCATGCCTCTCTTGTTTCCTGGTCCGGATGGGGGTCAATAAGGTCTTGGGGTCCTGATTCAGCCATCCTCAAGGATTTTTGGGTAGGTGTTGATCATTGGGACCTCACTGGTCCCAGGGGGAGGTATGCAGATCGAAGCACCATTATGATGATGAATATTTTAAAATAAAAATAGGAGCTAAAGGTATGGTGGGCCCCGCTGCCATGTGGTGGACCATTACATAGCGCCCGCCACACCACGGTGAGATCCTCCCAACACCAGGGCTGGCAGAGTGCAAAACCCTGGTGAAGCTAATGACGTAGCCTTGGGAAGGTGTCCCATGACTAAGGTGTGACGACGAGTCTGGAAACAGACTCGCGTGAGTCTGGGAACAGACTCGTACGCCACGCCAGGATCCCTCCCTTTTTTTTTTTTTAGTTTTAGCTGTTACATCTACTTATCTTGAATGAAAGAGAGCGGCCATTTAATAAGAAGCAACCTATCTTTTATTAGGTTAGTTGGTTGGGGCAAATTAATTTTAGGTCCACCTATTAAAAAGCCTATCAAATTATGTCTTAAATTTTTAAAGTGCTTAATTTAAAAAGTTTAAATAAATTCATATTACATTTACATTCTGTCATAGGAGAGGTAGGAGATAGAAGCCCCAAGGAAGGAGAAGGTGTTTGCCGGGGCCAGCTGGCCAGAAGAGCCTTAAATGTTGCGCTGGCGAAAAAAACATTAAGAGAGTACGAATTTACTTTACATGCAGGAAGAAGTTACAGAGTCAGTTTTAGGCTTGGCCGCAAAATGAGAGTTAGAAAAAATTAGATTAGATTGAATTTAAAATTTCAACGACAAAAAAGAGGAAAGCAATCAAGCAAATGAAAAGAGCAAATAAAAAAGGATTTAAATTAAAGTAAAGTTAGTAAAGAAAATAGAATAGGACAAAACAAAAAATCAAAATAAAAAACAAAAGAAACGAAAATGCCAGGTTTAAGCCACAGTTCCCAGTCATACAACACAAACAGAAAACATGACATGAATGCAAAACAAAAAAAGTCCGGTTTAGACCACAGTTCCCAGTCAAAAAAAAAATTAACAAAATGGACAAAAATGTCAAATATAAAAAGTCCTGTTTAGGCCACACTTCATAGCAACAAGAAAAAAATCTTGTACAAAATTTAAAAAAAAACACATAAAAAAATCATAACTAATATTTAAAAAAAACTTATTGCTGAAGATAGGAGAAGTCCGGCGAAGATTTGTCGTCCTCTTGAAATAGCTCCTCCTCCAGGTCCCGACGTCCTCTCTCGAACTGAGAAATGAAAGGAAAGATGATCAACATTTGACAACTCCAGACATGGGATGAAAAACGAAGAGATTGAAGGAATCTTCCGAACCGGGTGTTTCTTGGCTGGAACGAGGTGGCTAAGGGGATGGAATTGATGAGTGAGGTCACCCTTCTAAATGAAAGGAAGAAAACAAGATGCATTAGTAAATCATGTCAAGGACAAAATATTTAAAGGGAAAATCTTGAAACGAGAAAGTAATATTAAAATGGCTAGGGAAGGAAGGAGAGTATTAATGGTTGAAAAGATATTAATAATAATGGACAAAATAAAAAATATTAAAATAGGACACTGGAATAAATTTTTAGGGAAACCTTGATGCTGGAGATTGGAGAAATCTGGCGAAGATTTGTCGTCCTCTTGAAATGGCTCCTCCAGGTCCCGACGTCCTCTCTCGAACTGAGAAATGAAAGGAAAGATGATCAACATTTGACAACTCCAGCCATGGGATGAAAAACGAAGAGATTGAAGGAATCTTCCGAACCGGGTGTTTCTTGGCTGGAACGAGGTGGCTAAGAGGATGGAATTGATGAGTGAGGTCACCCTTCTAAATGAAAGGAAGAATACAAGATGCATTAGTAAATCATGTCAAGGACAAAATATTCAAAGGGAAAATCTTGAAACGAGAAAGTAATATTAAAATGGCTAGGGAAGGAAAGAGAGGATTAATGGGCTAAATTAAATAAGACTAATAGTAATACAGGACAAAATGACAAAAATACAAGACATGGAAACCAACAACACAATAAAAAAGACATACAAATGAAGGGCATGAAACACAAATGAGAATGGAAAAATGTATACAATCAAAGGAATTGGGAGGGGAACACAGGAACAACAAATACATACAATAAAAACCGAACGAACAATACAAATTAAAATGGGAAGTGTGGCCTAAACTGGACTATAACCCTAAAGTCAGCTGAAGTGGGCTGTCTCATATTCGGTATAACCGACCATGAGACAGTCCAACAGCTGACTGAGGAAGGGGCGGAAGTGAATCCCTTGGGGCGGGCGAGGGTACCTTGGATGCGTGACTTTTCCCTCTTCTCCCCCGAGGCTCCTTTACTTCCGGCCTTGGAAACTGAAAGGCTTAGGGGCAATGCCGTTTGATCCGATATCGTATCCTAGGCAGGTCTGCTTGACAACAGAGAGATTTTTTAGGCGACCGTTACATGGGACCAAATCAGCATTAGATATCTTTTGACTGAAAGACACCATGATTTCCGGGACACGTCACTCATATCAGATTATGAATGGGAATGGAAATCCGCGGCTAAAGAAAATACTCGGAAAAGCCGTTCCTCATTTCGAAAATCAGGTGACACATTCCAGAATTTTACCTCGAATGTGAATTCATGAAAGGAGACCAGATTAAAATTCTTTCTCTTTGAGGGAGACCAAAAATGTTCTAGCTTTGAAAAATGTGCCTGGAAGTCTTCAATTGAGCCGAATTTGCACATGATTAATCTGGTGATATCATCGTCAAGATGCTCTCAGACCCACTCCGTGTCCAAAAAAAAATATTTATATGGAATAATCATTGGCATGACAGCATGACAAGAAATGGAATCTGCTTTTTTATTATTATTATTATAGGATATTGCTTTAGCGTCTGTTTTTAGAACGTAAATTTTTTATGCCAACTGACTGGCTGGGCTTACATCTCTCTTCTCTCATCGCTCCTCTAGGGGTTAGAGGGTCTTTCCGAACGAAAACGCTTTGCTGCCATCTTATTAGGTACCGATACTACATCTCGGCCGTTGTGACAGAGTCAGACGACACTCAAATCGACTAATATTGTCTCTAGCGCCAGGTCTAGGTGATAATGTGGAGAATGGAGATTTTCCCCATGAGACATCTATTAAGTGAAAGCCGAGTTAGACTTTACGGATCGACCCTCATAGGTGACACCGCCCGTTTTCCCAACTTGTTGCAGGTTCATTTGATACAGATCAACATGATCGACTTTACGCCAGTTCCATGGCTTTTCCAAAAAAAAATTTGAAACTTTTTGCCGCTGGGAGATGGGGGAGGGGATGCTGCCTTCAATGTCCTTTTAGTTGAGTTTAAGCTAAATTCCTCTTCTTTCGCGATATTCTATGCCCGATCTTTACTTCCTGGAGAAAGTGCATCTTACGTTCATTACACGAATTTAAATGCGGCTGGCGTTGACTAACACAAGTTTATCCCTTCGTGAAACGCAGGAACACGAAGGCATGATGTCATCGCGGCATAGGAAACTGAAAACACTTTGAAAAATATAAAATAATCTTTAATGTGGAATAAACTGAAACACGCCCCATGCACTCAAGAATACTCCAAACCTTTGAAGCATCTGGAATGTTCTTAACTTCCGACAGAACAACTAGAGCAGAAAATGAAGCACATCACTGTGCGTACTTTCAAGTTTCTCACGTCCAGTTAAATTTCAGCAAAGAGTATTGGAGACGCAAGTCATGGGTTTCCAGAGTTCTAGCCAAGGAATTTCCCAAGCTGCATTACGTCTAGTGATTAAGCCTTCATGGATTAAGTCTCACGTGGAAGCCGAGCCCTCATTCCCATTTTCTTTCCCTTCAGACTCGACCGAATATGTTGGTTTGGTAGGTGACAACCCCTGCTGCCTGCTTTACTTTTCCTTTCCTGATAGTCAGCATTTTTTGCTGCCATGAAGACATGCAGTCCCCGAGTCTGGCTGTATTTCGAGACCGTAGCTCCATCCCACGCTCTCCCAAGAAATCAACGAGAAAGAGCGCGGAAAAAAAGCAGACATGCACTGATGACAAAATCCCATTATAAAAAATCCCCACGCAGCTCAATCAAGTCTGAGTCATGCACTCTCGTGGATGACATTCATCTGTAAAGAGAATTTCTGCGAGAGACGGGACTTCTTCGGTTGAGGCATGTTTGGAGTGGCACTGCTTCTCGCAAGTGAAAAGCAGGAAATCCTCCCTTTCCGTTTCACTCCTTTTGGTTCCTGAGAAACTGCTTTTTTTCGGGTTTCTCACATGCCCAACCGCTTTTCCCAGTGCATTCGAGATGAGGCTCATCCCCTGAGTATTTCTGTTCAGGGACGCTAGAGCTTCTTTTCGCCATCTAAAGTCAGTAATACGCAAATCGCAAATTAAAAAAAAAAAGCTACCATGGGGATCCTGATGGAATTTGGTGCACGAACTCGTAGGATTGCAGATAAGAGTTTCGAGGGCGTGGGATGAACATTCACACGAAAAGTTGCCAAGTACTCAAATTTAATGAGGACGAGGAAGTCGTTCTAATCACCCAAAGACGGTCGCCCAGAATGATGTTATCCATAAAACGTGGAACGGAAACCCAAAGTTCAGTAAAATCGAGCGAAGTTTCAAGTTGAAGAGTGAAGCAAAACACCCACGGAACGGAGGAAGAGGGCGGCGATCGATGATTTTCCTTTTCTTTTCTTATCAAGCTCGCTATTGAGCCGTAGTTTCGCTGCGAATCAATGCTGAGATGAAATTTCTGAAGGCTATAACATTCGAGCGCTCGATCGATGTCTGCTAATTGGGATGCATGCTAAACATCCCCAGCAATCGATGGAGTTTCATTACAGAAAGGGCACCAAAGATGAAAACGTCGACTACCCCATCGTACCAGCAGTGGCTGGTGAAATCGACACCTGGTGGCAACGTCACCAAATAGAAGGCATTCACACTCCACAGCCAAAAATCTCTGGATCAGGAAAGCGAGGGACCAGGGTAAATCTGCCCAATCTGTCCAAATTTTTATATTTTGAAAGGTCCGCACTCCGACTAGCACCAGATGTCCACGTTGAAATTACTTTTTAAATTAAGTATTTAAAATATATATATTACGTAAATACATCCTTGTGCCCTTCATTCAAGCTGGAACATTTGCGCTTGCGTTTCGGAAGCAAATTTCAATGAGCTCTTGCATCTGGGCAAGAGGCGAGATGGCATTCGCGTGCCAGAAAGCGTGAAGGGTCAGCATTTCAACGGGAAATCGAAGCAAGTCGATCGATTGATCGATGATCACTTCGCAGGATCCTAATCTGCGATATTTTGAATTGCAAATATCGCAAAAATAAAACCCATGTGAATGAGGGGTTTACTGTATATGCTAAAAAATTGCGAAATTGTTAAAAACATAGATAATATTTGGGTGAATTGATTCAGGAATATGGATCTGTATTGCATTTTTATTGGCATCCAGAAATCATGAATTTCAAGAAATGTCTCCATAGGCGAATGAGCACAATAACTTCCCATCATGAACGCAAAGACGTTGCTCATCAGATTTTGAAGCGAGTATTCGAAACCGGAGTGATGTGAGCCGCAGGCATACTAAAATTAAAATTTTAAAATGTTGCGCATGCGAGAAAAGTGACATATGCAATTTCGTTATTTGTCTGTGACTGTCAGCGCTCGAGCTGCCTGACTGCTGAATACTAATAGGCGAAACTTTGCATTCGTATTTCATTGGATCCAAGGATTTATCCCTGTCACGTAACAAATCCTTATTTTGTTACGTTTTCCTTATTTATACGAAAACATAATTCTGGAATGGAAAAGAAAAGTTTACAACAGCGTTCATTGACGTCAAGGGACGTTCATTGACATAGATCTCGACAATTAAGATAAAATGGTTCATGGGATCGACTCAATCAATGCACGAGGTCTAGTTATATAGGTCATTAACTGTGGTGAAATAAATCAGCACCACGCCGGCCATCTGGCTGTTAACTCAAGCAAACAGGGTTCCCACAACTGAAGTGAGATGTCGCCTAAGTCGTCGCTGTGAATCAACCTGATGAGTGTCTTAGTGGCGATATCTAGGGATTTGTAGCAGTACCGATGACGTCAGTGGACAAGATTTGACACGTTGCCGTAGGGTTTGGGCTTCGGGCCTTTCCAAGTCTCACTATCGCAAGGAATACGGCATGAAATCAGAGTTACCAATTACTTCGGCATCTAACGTGATAAAACTTCCTGCTTAATCGTGGACACCTGCCTTCATTAATATTTTTTTTTACCCATTAAGTAAGGTTTTGCATTATAGGATACTGTACCAAATAAGTAGCGTTTAACTTATCAATCGGTACATGAAGCGGTGAAAAATTTGTATTTGGATTACTTTTTCAATATCCTCCTACGATTTTGACCTGTTTCCTTGAATATTTAAATTTTTAATATTTCTATAATGAAGTATACATCTATTACCTCCAATTTCAAGGGTTAGAACTATTTTTCCAGTCCTCTGGGATGGTATTTGAGTATTTCCTGCGATTCTTCGGTACTGATAATAGATGTAATAGATGCGCTGTCAGCGTGCCCAGATAAAAAATTATAGTAGATAATTAAAAATCTAATACTTTTCGTTTCGGTTTGTCCAGACTTTGTATCTCGTTAAAAGGGCAATGGAATTGAAGTTATTTTAATTCGTCCCCATGTCTATTTGTAATTCCTTTTCAGATTCTCAAGGGCGATTAATATGGAGAGAGTTGTGATGGCTACCCAAAAAGTGACTGGCTGCTCTTACTCGTTCCTTTCCAAAAACAAATAACCACTAGTTACCGTTACTAGCTCCTATTTTTTCAATGAGCAGCTGTCGATAATCTCCATCGTCACTCTTTACTTGAAACTTCGAAAGCGTCATCCAGGAGACCAAAGGAATTCGAACTGAAGCAGCCATCCTCCAGCGATGCTTAAGCATGGGTTTTATTTCTTGAAACAGTAATGTGAGAAAGGAGAGAGGGGGGAAGGTGTTGGACAAAGGAGAGGAGGGTGTTGAACGAAGACGGGGGGGGGGGGGTGAGGCTGCAGGACGCTGCATTTAATACACAAAAATTATCTATGTTTTTAACAATTTCGCAATTTTTTAGCATATACAGTAAACCCCTCATTCACGTGGGTTTTATTTTTGCTATATTTGCAATTCAAAATATCGCAGATTAGGATCCTGCGAAGCGCAACTTACATCGATCAATCGATCGACTTGCATCGATTTCCCGTTGAAATGCCGACCCTTCACGCTTTGTGGCACGTGAATGCCATCTCGCCTCTTGCCCAGATGCAAGAGCTCATTGGCACTTTCGCCCATTATCACATCCTGCATCAAGGTCTACCGTTAATGTATCGTAAGATATGCTCTTAAATATACAGATATTGCGTTGGAGCATATCCTTCTACTGCCTAGTCACGTACACTACTCCCTTTATTTGCGTTTTGTCCACGACTGCACGAAGCCACTTCTTAAAATTAGTCACAGTGGGGGCAGCCACTATACCAATACTCGACGAATCTCAAGCATTAACTACACTACAAGTGAAGAAGTCTTTTCACAACCTGAGTCTCGCTTGAAGTTTACGCAACTTAGAAACGATGTCCTCTCGTTCTATTGCTACCATCGAGTTGGAAGACTACCACGCACCACGTTATCGATTCCCTTAATGAAATTAAAAGCCTGGATGAGGTCCCCCACCTTCTCTCGAGCGAGTCGAGTCCCAGCGTCTCACGTTTCTGATATGAAAGCCCTCTTACAGCTTTTATCCTTTTCGTAGCTAGCCTCTGAATCCTCTGGAGCGCCGTTAGATGACTTCTATTTGAAGGGCTTCAGAATTGAACGCAATGCTCTCAATGGGGTCTAACCAGAGCTGCCTATAATAGAAAAATAACGCGCCGTGTGTAGAGATATGGAGAGATACAGGAAGTTAAAAAAAAAAGTTAGATCGTACGCGTTTGCACTCACAGGTGGTTCCGTTTGTCTTGCTACAAAGCGGATCATTAGATGCATTTGGGTCGAGTCTCCTGTCTAACACTTTTGTTAAATGCGCTGCTCCTCATCAGATATCAGGTGATTCAAAACTGCGCGCAATTGCTCGAATTTCCGCGATGACGGAAACAGATGAAGTGAGAAACGGTAACGCGTTTCTTTTTCTGGGGTGTAACGAAAGGCAGTAATGCGTTCCAAATTTTATACATCATCGTTAGGGCAAACCCGTGATTGTTCGCAGTCGATGAAGGAAATATGCTCTGAAAAAAATAATGCGTGTCATTCATCTGTTATTGTTATAATGATGTGATAATGGGCGAAAGTGTCTCATGACGTCCCTCTCCGAACCTTGCACCCTTGAATATCTACATACAAGTATGTGTA